AGTGCCTGCTGTACACTCATCAATAAGGGAATTCAGATCTTCAAAACCCAGGTACGTGCTAGGTGGGTTCAGAAAACACAGACAGGGATCCCAGGAGCAAGCTCACTGCCTAGACCAGCTCTTTTGCTCCAGGTTCAACTGAGAGACCCTGCTTTAATGAATAAGGTGGACTCCCAACATCCACCTCAGGCCTCTACAGACATGGATGCAGACATGCATACATACCCATATGATTCATGCACACACACCCCCACACACACATACCACACAGACACACACATGAGGGGAAAAAAAAGATATACACATGCATATCGGGTATAAAAAGTTATTCCATAGTAATAGACATCAGGGAAACAGAAACAAGACCACAGTGAAATCTACCTCTTGCTCAGCATGATGGCTACAGCCAAAAGACAGACAGTAACAAGCACTGACAACATGTTAAGGACTCTCAACATCGCTGGTGGGGAATGTAAAGTAGAGCAGCCTCTGTGGAAAACAGGGTAGCAGTTCCTTAAAATATCAACTGGTCATTCCACTCCTAGATATCTACCCAGAAAGGCTGAAGAGATGCCTCAGAGGTTAAGGACACTGGCTACACTTGCAGAGGACACAGGTTTGATTCCCAGTACCCACATAGTGGCTAAACAATTGTCTCTTCTGCACAGGCACTGCACAACACAGGTGCACTTAAATACATGCAGGCAAACACTCATACACATAAAACTAAATAAATCAAAAAAAATTTAACAAAAATCTTAAAAAGAAATTATGTCCAGACATAAACTAGGACACAGCTCTTTCACAGTAGCATGTTTCATGATAGCCAAAACACAGAAACATTCACCAAACAGTAAATAGATAAATAATAAATAAATAAATAAATAAATATGGTCTATCTAGATATACAAATACCATCTACTAGGTAACAAAAAGTACTGATGAATGCTACATGTATGAACCTCAACATGTATGAGCATGTATACTGGATGAAAGGAGCAAAAACAAAAGGTCAAATATTGTATGATTCTGTTTATATCAGAATGTTCAGGGACAGGAAAGATAGTTCAGTCAGTAATGTGCTTGCCTTACAAGCATGAAGGGCTGAGTTTGGATCCCATGTAAAGAGCCAGGTGTGGTGCATGCCAGTAATCCCAGCACAGGAGAGGCAGAGTAGGAAAGATCCTAGGGGCTTGCTGGCCAACCAGTCTAGCCCAATCAGTGAGCTCCAGATTGAATGAGAGACCCTGACTCAAGAAATATGGTGGAAAGCATTTGAGGAAGATATCCAATGCAGACCTCTGGCCTCCACAGACATGTATATGCATGCATGCATGCATGCATGCATGTACACATACACATAGAAAGAATGTCCAGAAAAGGCAGACCTAGAGAACAAAGAGCTTAGTGGTTATCTAGACATAGGGGTGGAAAAAAAAAATTGGGGAAAAAACTGCAAATGAATGTATTACCAACCTGAAACAAAAATAGATTTACAAATCAGTGTTTTTAGCTTTCTTCATAATAGCTCCAAATAAGCAACAATTCTAATACCCAGCAACAGATGCATGGATAAACTAAATGTGATTTATCACATAGTGAACTATTATTCAGCAATAAAAAAGAATGAATTAGCCGGGCATGGTGGCGCACGCCTTTAATCCCAGCACTTGGGAGGCAGAGGCAGGCGGATCTTTGTGAGTTGGAGGCCAGCCTGGTCTACATAGTGAGTTCCAGGACAGCTGGGGCTACAGGGAGACCCTGTCTCAAAAAAAAAAAAAAAAAAAAAAAAAAGAATAAATTGGTGATACATGGATTAACACATATCTCAAAAATCATTATGATGAATAGAAACAACAGACCCCAAAATTCATATTGTATGCTTCCACTTATATGAAATTCTAGAAAATATAGATTCAACTCTAGTAGTCAGTCATTGCCTGGGGTCCGAAACAGATAAAGAAATTGGCTGTAAATAAATAAGAAAGTTTTAGAACCAAAAAGACTGGGGAAAAAAAAAAAAAAAAAAAAAAAAGCTTTAGAAGGTTGTGGTTTGAATGAGAATGTCCCGCACAGGCACCAAGTATTTGGAAATTTTGTCCCCAGTTGGTGGCGCTGTTTTGGAAGGCTTTAGGTGTGACTGCTGGAGGAAGCTTGTCCCTGGAGGTACACTTTGAGAGGTTTTGTTTGTTTGTTTGGGGTTTTTTTGGGTTTTTTGGGGGGGGGTTGTCTTTTTGAAGCAGGGTCTCCCTGTAGCCCCAGCTGCCCTGGAACTCACTATGGAGACCAGGCTGGCCTTGAACTCACAGAGATCCGCCTGCCTCTGCCTCCCAAGTGCTGGGGCTACAGGCGTGCACCACCACGCCCAGCTAGAGAGTTTTTTAAGCCTTGCCAGATTTCCAGTTGTTCTCTGCTTCCTGTGCCTGCCTGTAGATGTGATCGCTTGACTTTCTGCTCCAACCATCTTTGCAGTCATGCCTCCCTGCCATTATGGACTCTAACCCCTAGAAGCCATAAACTCAAACGCTTCCTTCTATAAGTCGCCTTGGTCATAGTGTTTTATCACAGCAACAGAAAGTAACTAATACAGGATAGCAGTCTCTATGCTAGCTGCACTATATTTGCAGGTATATGCAACTGTCATAACTCATCAAACTGTACCCAATAAATGATTACAAGATACTATATGTAAATTATACCTCAATAAAATTGAAGAGAAAAAAAATTATTCATGAGTACTTGGACATTGTTTAAGATTTAAAGCAACTACTATAACTTTGTTCCAGTCAATATTACAGCAAGTGAATTAACTTTTTTTTAATGGAAAAAAATGTTTAAAAACCAGTAGGACACAACTTACTCTATCAAGTCAACATGTTTCACAAACAGAACTAGAAACAAAGTTTGGAGATTATGATCATAGGACCTGATACAGACCCTAGTCCCACCTAGCCAACAAGTGGCCCTGAGCAAGTTACAACTTCTGCCAGACTCAGTTTCCACATCTCTAAAACATGGAAGGTATGAACTGGTTATCAACTAAGAAACCAGTCCACTGGAAGAGAGATTTGATCTTAGTCAAAATTATCATCCTGGTATATGGCAATACCAGGTACTCACTAATCTGGAAAGTAAAAGACACAATATACTTTAACAGGTAATATTTGATTCTTTGCACTCTGTAGACAGATATATCTATCCACACAGACTCAAACATGGAAATTTCAGGCTCTTTGTGAAATGTCGCTGTAATTTAGGTCATTATACAACAGACTGAAATTTTAAATCCTTAGTACTGTCCTAAGACTGACTCGCTTGAGGGGCAAAGTGCTATGACAGCAAGAGCTGTACCTCTTTCCTTTACCACTGATCCTCACTACTAATGTTTACCTAACAGAGTAAGTGCCAAACAGCATGCTTTTGCAAAGGCCCTTTGACCAAATGAACTCTTTTTAAAAGATCAAAGTGACTGACAGACAAAGAAGAGAGTGTCATGTTCAATGAGGTTGTAGAAGCAGACAGGACCCAGACCTTTCAGAATCTTTCAGGCTGTGTGGAGTTTTGTATTTCTCCTAAGCAGCAGAAACCTTCGAGCTATATTTAAGCAGGAGGCTGGCATAATATCAAGTAAGGAAAGGGTCATAATTAGATTTTAATTTTGAAAAAAATCACTCTCTACAGTGTGGAGAAGAGTCTGATGAGAAAAAGGAAGATACAGGAGTTAAGGAAGGTGTGACAGCTAATTTTGTTGTCACTTTGACAACAAAATGCTGAAGTAAGAAATTTCCTCAATCAGATTAGTCTATGGACTTGTCTGTGGGCACATTTTCTAGATTGCTAATTGATGTAGGAGGATCCAGCCCACTGTGGGCAGTGTCATCCCGGGGCAGGTGTACCTCGATTGTATAAATAAAGGTAGAGGAACAAGCCAGGGGAGGCAAGCCAGTACGCAACATTCCTTCATAGTCTCTGCTTCAGTTCCTATCTCCAGGTTCCTACCTTGAGATCCTGTCCTGACTTCCCTCAACATTGGACTGTGTCCTGGGAGTTATAAACTGAAATAAACCCCTTCCTCCCCCACTTGCTTTTTTGATGGTGGTACTTATCACATCAACACAAAGCAAACAGTAGGGCAGAGTGAGTGTAGCCCAAGAAAGAGGCTGCTGCAGCAATCAAACCAAAGAGACAATGGTAGTTTGGTCCAAGGTAATAGAAAGAGAAAAGAGTCCCAGTATATTAAGATGAACTTATAGGCCCCAACTTTGGAAATGCAGGAAAGGAAAACACTCCATTCCTCATCTGCGAAACAGGACTGTTGATACTCCATCTATATAATAATTATCTTGCCATCTGCTGTGGTAATATGAAATAAAAGATTACGCCCTTAATGTAGGTGACTGACACAATAATTGCTGGAAACAAATAAGTCACTACTGCCATTATTGTAATCCCACACGATGTCCACTACCCGAAGCTGAAGAGCTAAGGCAGAGAACAGGAATGTACTCAGACTATTCGCAGATGCTATCCATGCACATTCACGGTGCTGAACAGTCAGCTGGCCACTGAGACAACTGCTCCAAATAAATCCATGTCACCACACAGACACTTCATCTCACCAGCTCTTCGGGCCTCAAGAGACCGCTATGACTAAGAAAGCACAGGAAGTATGATCACAAACATCCGGTAAACTGAGGCACGAGGGTGGCTATGAATTTAACCAAGGAACAGGTACAGAAAGCAGGCCAAGGAAATAGATGTCTTGGTTTTCTTTTCCGAGCTAGTCCAATAGAACTCGGCCTGCATCCTGAGCAACACGAATGCACAGCATGCACACACACACGCACAAACACCACGTCTGCAGGTCTCTGGCAGACAAGGCCCTGTCAACCCCCTTGGCTTAACGCCGAAAATCCGCTCACCCTCCCAACGAATCCTGGACTTCCCTGCATATAACTCCAGACGCACGGAGCCCCCCAGATCCCCGGAGCCCCACAAACCTTAGCTTCGCGCTCTCGCTCCTCCGCGGTCTGGGCTCGCTTCATGCTGCCACTAAAGCCGCCTTCGCCACCGTGGGCCGCGTCCACCCTCACTCTGGACCCCGCCTCCTACGTGTAGTTCTCTTGATGGCTCATTCGCGCCTGGTGCCATTCGCTCTCATACGCTAGGGAACTATTGCTCCCAGGATGCACCGAGCGACTCCCGAGAACGCCTCAGTCTTCGGAACCCAAGTTCCCAGCTCCGTCAGCTGGGCTAACGTAGTCCACTGCCTGGCTGGCCAAAGGCCCGGAGCTCGGGGAGAACTACATTTCCCAGAAGGCAAGGGCGCCCACCATGTTTTCCCGTGCTCCTCTAGGCCAGTGGCCTCACGCACCGTCGGCGTCGGCGCTATAGCAACGGCAGCTAGCGGCGGGCGAGCGCTGAGGTGAGTACCCTGCGAGGTGGAGATGGAGAGAGGTTGGCTCTCCCTCCCTCTGCGGCACAGTCGGGGGCTTGGGGTCTGCTCCGAGGCCCAAAGAAGACCTGGGGTTCTGTGGGAGAAGCAAGCCCGACAGGCCTCTCGGTAATCAGGCCTGCATCACAGCCCGCCCAGGGACCCTCTGCCGAGCTTGAAAATGCTTGCGATGAGAATTGTCATGCCTGTCTAAATCCTGCAGGTCGAAGGTTCCCAGTTCGCTCTGTGGCCCCGGATCCTGGATTACTTGGTAGAACCTAAGCCACCCAAGGAGCTTGTTACTATTGTTTTTGCAGTTGTTTTCTTAAAAGACTGGATCTCGCCACATAGTTCCCGACTGGCCTTGGGAACAAGTCTTACCTCTACCGTCTGCCACCACAGCCAGTTCCTAGTGGCCTATTCTTAATTACCGTGTTTATCATATGACTATTCTTGTTGTCAGATAATTCAATAAAGAGAAGTTTGTTTAGACTCAGCGTCT